CACTGCTCTAAATGAATATATTATCAGAGTGATTCACATCTGTTGTTAGATAAGAACATCATCTTTCCTACAAATTTAAGCTTAATTGATATCTTTAGTCCGTTTAATTTGGAAAGGGAAATCTGAGGTAACAAAGTTAATGCGTGATGTGGATTTCAGAAATTAAATGTGCAACTCCGTCTTCAAAAGGGATCTTACCTGGAAACCAAAATAAAAACTGAAAACAGTAGAGTTGTTCTATGAGCAAAGGTGTGTGAACTCTGCCCGCCTCACCGCAGAGAAGCCCCTAGACAGGCAGGGAAGGGAAGATAAAGCCATTGCAAACCACAGTGTCTTCCAAGAAGGGTGGGTTCTGTAAAAGCAAACCTGAACCCTGCAGATCTTCTGTGTAAAGGAGGAGAGAGGCCTTGAGGCTAAGCCCTGAGTGGGAATAGAGGCCTTAAAGATACATTATGTTGCCTACCAGAGAAAGAAGAATAGAGGGCTAACTGGGAAGGAAAGATGGAAAAGAAAGGAGGAACCAGCAGGGTGGTTTAAGTGGCCAGCACAGTCAGCAAAAGAAGTCTCGCTAAATTGTCATCAGTATAATATACTACCGGCCCCCTAGGCGCCTCCCCCAGGTCCAGCTCAGTCTGTTACCTGCACAAAGGCCTGGTAAGGGAAGATGTTTCAGAGGAAAGGGCCTGCGTGCTGGTATTCTGGAGGGACGTGATGGGAAAAGGAATAGCACGTGTGGGACTAAAAGATGATCAGTCAGCTGAATTGATTCAACTGTTAAGACGATTCGAGTTTGTAAGTGTAAAGTGCTCAGAACAGTGTCCTGCACACAGCACAGCTGATACATACTTGTCACAATAAATAAACAAATTCTGCAATACAGCCCTGCAGCTGGCCCAGCTAACCTGGCCAAGCAGAGAAACTGACTGTCACTGGAGCAAGCAGCACAGGGTAGCAACAGTGACCTCCCCACCCCCACCCCGCATGCACACACACGTTATAAGGCCAGATCCATGTGTTATACTGATTAGAGGGCCAAGATTATACTCTTAATAATATCTACTAAGTGTATCCTGAGGACCTAGTACAAATGCTTGGAACATATCCAGTGAAAATTGGCTCAATGAATAAAATAATAGAGCCCAGCCAGTGTGGCTCACGGGGTGAGCATCTACCCAAGCACCAAGAAGTCACTGGTTCGATTCCCAGTCAGGGCACATGCCCAAGTTGTGGGCCTGATCCCTAACAGGGGGCATGTAGAAGGCAGCCAATTGATGTTCTCTCTCATTGATGTTTCTCTCTTTCTCCTTTCCTCTCTCTAAAATCAATAAAAAAAAATATTTTTAAAATAAATAAATGATAGACATCCTTTGAAAAAATGTATTCATTTAAAAATTTTTGCGCTTTGAAAAGATGTAGCATTATTTTAATCACAGCATCACTATATTTTTTAACCTTCGTATTTGTTTCCAGTTCTGAAGGAATTCTTGTAGTCTTAGGAGTACCAACTGGCCAAGTACCAGTTGGCCAACCTTGCTCTAAACTTACCCCTGATACTGCCCAAACCACTGACAATGTTTTTAAGCTTACAAGCAGGAAGTGGATATTTTAGTGCAAACTTATCTCCACTAATAGGCAAAGAACTCAGCTATGTTTTGTATACAGTAGGTCAGACTGATGGCTCTACTTTCACAACATATCCACAGTCCAACCACCTGTACCACATCCACTGGCCCACGCCACCCTACGCTGTCCCCAGGGTTCTTGCAGGGTCTCTGAACTGGACTCCCACTTCCACTTTTGTCCCATAGCGTCCTCCCTCACCACAGCAGCTAGGTGGATTGTTAACCCATAGATCATGGAGTGGGGCAAAACAGGAGAAAATGGGAGACGTCTGGAATACTGTCAAAAATAAAATAAAAGTAAAAAATTAATTTAAAAACAAAACAAAACAGATCAGATTGTGACCCTCTTCTGCTCAAAGCATTTCTATCAATTGGTATGCAGTCAGGAAACTGGTATTTCAAAGAGAGGGAAATTGTATTACAGGGAGTTGATTACAAAGGTTAGTAATGGAGGGAGGCCACTACCACCCTTAGGCTCGAGGAACAAAAGGGAAAATGGTGTTACATGGGACCTAGAGTCAGAGCGGCTGAAGTGACTGCTGTTGGAACCAAGAGGCCTGAGCCAGCATTCCCTGTGGCTAATGCCACTATTGCAGCTGCCATGTGGGAAAGGCTGGCAGGATTCTCATCCTGAACAAAAAGGAAGAGCCTGCTTCCCATCTTCCAGTGCCTCCCAAGAAGCCAGCAAGCAAGGGAGTCTGGGAAATGTAGTTTTCAAGACTCTGGCCCCAGCATTAAGAGATGGGTACAGAAGGAAAGGGTGTGAGGTAGACAGAAGACAGACCCCATCCAGAGCAGCACCTCATTCACAGTAAAGCCCGAGTTTACAGGATCTTCCAAGGAAGGTACCCCCTCACCCCAACACACACGCACCTTCTTTCTGCCCTCACTCCCCACCACTCGCTGCTCATCACACCTGCCAGGCCCTCCTTCCTAAGGGTCCAGCATTGCTATTTCCTCTTCCTGGGATAACCTCAGCCCCAGACTGTCACGAGTCACTCCCTCATCTCCTGGAAGGCCTTTATTCAAAGGGCACCTTCTCAATGACTCTCTTTGAAAACTAATTTAAAACTTCAACCCCTTCCAACTCCCAGTCCCCTTTATTGCTTTATTTTTCATCACAGCATTTTTTTTCTTTTCTTTTTTTTTAATTCCTCACCCAAGGACATTTTCCTATTTATTATCAGATAGAGTGGGAGGGAGGGAGGGAGGGAGGGAGGGAGGGAGAGAAACATCGATGTGATAGAACCACATCCACCAGTTGCCTTCCGCACAACCCAACCAGGGCCAGGGACAAACCGCAACCAAGGTACGTGCCCTTGGCCAGAATCAAACCCGCGACTTACTGGACTATGGGCTGATGCTCTAACGGCTGAGCCAAACCAGCCAGGGTTTCATTTATCCTTTCCTAACACATATGTATCACATACAGTTTTTTCATCTACAAATGTATTTTTCTCCCATATTATATATTTTAGTTGTCCCTCTAGATGGATGGACAGATAGTCAATATTTCACCCCACCAAAATGTAAGCTCCACGGGGGAGCTTTTTTCCTGCTGACAAAGCCCCAGTGCTCAGTAAACACTTGCTGATTGAATGAATAAATGTAATTGTTGATCAACGTGTTTACTATGGGGTGAAAAGTATTAAGGCTCTTAAGAGCCCGAGGGAAGGAAAAGCAGCATCGCTGCCCTTCTTCCTCTCCTGACCCCACTCGGGCTATGTTAGTGTCCCTTCCATGTGCTTCTTCTAATGCTCCCTGTAGTTCCCTATCCCAGAACTCGTCACACAAACATGCCATTACACGTTTACATATGTCTCCTCCGCCACTGAAACTGGAAGTCCCCTGGGACACCCAAGGGGTGGTGCCCATCTGGGTAACACCTGGCAGCGTCGCCCTGCACGTCCGGTAGGCAGGGCTCAAACAGTATCTGTTGTCGAACGCTCCCACCACAAAGCAGAAAAACACACTCAAAGGTCTCTGGATGTCATTCCTGACTCTGATGTTCTGGAAAGACACGAGTCAACAGCTGTGAGGAAACACAAACAGAGTCAGGAAATAGTTAAGTACAGAAGCAGAAGGAGTCAGCAGCAGCTCGATCTGGCTAAGCGAGGAGAAGCAGAATTATCATGGCTTCAGAGAACATTTTAATCTTTTTATTAGAAGTATTTATATCGCCCGAAAAGTATTCCACTGGTGAGTTATTTTAATAGCTGAATATTATAGGCTAGCAAACAAATCTTGAAAAAATTAAGTTATGAAAATCCACATTATCATAGAAAAGCAATGCATCTCAATAGATAACAGATTTTACAATGTTATTCTCAAGGGGACTGGGCAGTAGAGCTACAAAGTTCATTAACAAAAGCATTTTTCTAATTTTATAACCAATTTTAGAGAAAAGAATTATCCTCAGTATGTGTGTTCACAGATGGTAGAAAGATAATTGCTAAAAATCAGCCTTGGTTGTTTTTTCTTTTTGAGGTTTCAAGCAGATACCTAGAAAATATCCACAGTCTTTCCTGAAGAGATCATGGCTGTATTTTACACTCAAAATAGATCTGTGTATTTGGTTTCAATTCAGGGACTGGAAGAAGCCATAGCACACACAATACTTCAGCACCAAAGTTATCATAAAAGCTTTGACTTGGCTCACATCCTCAGGAGTTTACAGACACGCAGAAATGTCTTATCTCATCTTGTCCTAAGAAGGAGCATTGCTGTCACCTGCATGAACACCACCCAAGCACATCACACAGGAGGGACTTGGGGCTTTGAGGGAAAGGCCTCCTCAGCTGGCCGATCTTCAGCTCGAAGCACGTCCGTCCCTGTGTTTTGTTTGCAGTGGCCTGCTAAGTGCATTCGGGCATTGGGCATCCCCTGCTGCTTCTGCTTAATTAAAATTTCAATTTGACCAATGACGATTTGAAACGCATTATAAGCAACAGGAATTCAGTTCATCAGAAATCTGCCTTTTTCATTCCTTTCTCACTGCATAAGTTTGCAAAATAACTCCCAACCAGAAAATGACTTCAAACCTGCTTGCTGCCTGAAATGTACATTTATTTGTTCGCTGGCGCAAGGAGAAAACTGAGCTAAGTCAGGGGAGATACACGTACACGTTCTTGGAAGGATAATTTTAGAACCAGTTTCAAAGCCGACTCTAATTCGAAAATGCCTCTGCCACTTAGACCCACATGGAGATGTTATCAGCCTCATGAAATGTCATCGAGTAACTGAGGGTTTGTTTTTTTGCCAGTAGTGGAAGTGATCGCAGCCGCTGTGGCTTCCTTGCTGGGAGAGGGAGGGTGGGGGCAGTTTATTGGAAGTAACTTTAGAGAGAATGTGATAAAAGCAGACATTCAAAGCCATGGGCTATTGATTGCAAATCTGGCAAGGCTGCAGGCCATTCTCATTGCAGGCAGGGCACCGCAGGGCCCGATAGGACTCCTTAAATCTGTTGGCCAGCATCGAGAACTTGCTGCCGTGGCACAGAGAGCAGGTGGCACTGCCCGACCCTCGGCAGTGAAAACAGTTGTCATCTGGAAGCTCCCCTTCCTGCAAGAGACGGGTCAGGGTTTAGTTACAGCAGCAGTTCAAGTCCATTGATCACATGCAGGTCAAAATAGCACTGGACAAAGGCTGGGGCAAAGAAAGAGGAAATGTTTCCCACAAATGTCAGTGAGGGAATTGGCCGAAGGCATGGAGTAATCACAGCAAGTTTATCAATGAGGGTTTTCCTGGTGGACATCCTCAGACAGCATCCCCTGCTACCAGGCCACCGTGACTTCAAGTTCTTCATCACCCTTGTCACCATCTGACACGTTATTTCTGTACGTTCCATAAGGGCAAAGACTTAGCTTTCCTCATTGTCGAATACTAAGAGTGCACTTTTGTAGTATGCCTAGTACGTGCCAGGCACTGTTCTAAGATCTTTCTTTCTTTTCTTTTTTTTTATCCTCACCCGAGAACATTTTTCCATTTTTTGTTCAGATAGAGCAGGAGGGAGAGAGGAGAGAGAGGAAGAGAGACAGAGAGAAACATCGATGTGAAGGGACACATCGAGTGGCTGCCACCCGCACGACCAACCAGGGCCGGGGACAAACTGCAACCGAGGTACGTGCCCTTAGCGGGAACCGAACCCGGGTCTCTCAGGACCGCAGGCCGACGCTCCAACCGCTGCGCCAAACCAGCCAGGGCAGATCTTTCTTTCATATATCAATCCATCTAATTCCCACAGAACCCCATGAGACAGTGTAAGGATCATCATCCTTATGCTACAGATGAGAACATGAGACACTGAGAAATTCAGTTATCCACCGATTGGTACACAGCTTGGAGAAGAGGCAGGTTTTGATCCGAGGCAGTTGAAGATGAGAGTTTATGCTCCTACTGACTAAGTGCCTAAGCACCTCATTGTAGTTGCCCAAAGCAGATGCTCAAGAAAGACTGTTTTGTGTGACTGAGAAACTAAGTGGATGAATGAATCAATGTTACAATCCTTGGAAGCTTAGCTCTGAATTCTTGCGATACTTTATTCTTGTTCTCTTTGAGAACTGGGACAAGTTCCCAGGACTAAGAGCTCTGCTCTGGAGTCAGTAGTGGGACTGAGGCCTGCCAAGTTATGCACCTTGGACAGCTCCCTTAATCTCTCTAAAATCTCCATTTCCTTACCTGTGAAATGGGAGTGATAATGCTTGCCTCTCTGAGTAGAGTAGCTGGAATATTAGATAAGAGAGTATATGAAAATACAATACTGTGTTATCTGGCATATTATGGTTTCTCCATAAGAATTATTCACTTCTAAGCCTTGCTAATAAGTTTCCAGTCCTCGACTCCCACCCTCCGGAAATGCCCCTTGTCTACTGTCACGTTCTTCCCCTAAGACATCTCAACAAAATTAGCAACCTTTGCACTCCTTTGCAACCTTTCAAGAAAAAAGGGGTGATACCCGATCTATACCAGGTGTATCCAGCACCAGGTGCTGCCCATTTCACCTTCAAATCCATCCATTTTTTTCCACCCCAGTCTGACACCTCCCAGTTCTGGCAGGAACTCAGTGTGGACACCTGCCTCTGGTCTGGTGGGCTGTTCTCCCCACTGATGCCAATCTCACTACATTGCCTGTAATTGTGATTGCCACACAGCACTCAAGAAACCTTCTAATGAACACTTGCCTTCCAGATAAACTTCAGAGCTAAACCCAATCTCCTCAGCTGATTTAAATATTTAGTTACGCATTTCATCAGGCTCTCATCCTTAGGTCTCTCTCCAGCTGGTCTCCAGGAGCCTGCCCCTCCTCCCAACCCAGCCAACTCCTACTATGTTCAAGTGTCAGGAAGCCTTGCCCACTCACACCTCTGGCCCGAGTCCTACCACTGGTCCTGCCCCAAGCACCCCCAGTCTCTGCTAGACAGGAAGCTCTCCGCGCAGGTTCTTTTCACCATCACTTCCTGGACACCCAGTGCGATGCCAGGAAAATGTGTGCTGTTCACATGTTTGCCAAGTGAATAAACAAACAACGCAATGATGTCTAGAGAACCCTGCCCATTCCGAAATTCTAGGAACTGCCAACACAGCCGAAGCCCGCTGGGAGACTCCACGCAGCTAACATAGCTTTCTTGTATAACCTAACAATAAAAGTAATCTCTAAAAAGGGAGGCATCAGTTCTGAAAAGAGTTTTACAGTGCTGCATGGTGCCTAAGATGGTATTACATTTCATTCATTCTAGATATAGGGAGTGGAAGTGATTAGCCAACTGACAAAAACCCAAATCATGTCTATGCACCCTTTTGTTACTATTTTATTAATTGTTGCCATACTTTCATATATTAACAGTGCAGAAACTTGTTTTCTTCCCTTAAAGTAATCAAAATAAATAGATTTGCCAAAATATTCTTAAAGCAAATAGCCACAGACCATTTTTCTGCCAAATCCATGTTTTATACTTGATCCCAGTGAGATTTTAATGGTGTAAGTCAATGTTGTCAAAGAAAGTATAGTCAAATCCTAGCATAATGCTATACATGTGACCTGAAAATTAGTTTGTGCAGAATGCCAGGTCAGATACTGAAATATTAATACAATGGCCTGGTGAGCCTGCTATAGAGAACAAAACCAAACCCTCAACCAAATTTTATCTGATGCATTATTGGAGTTGCTGTTCTTATCCTGAGTTACAGCCCTTCTCCAACCACTCCCCCTCAACCTGCCCATTTAATTATTTAGTGATTCATTAAATCAAATATTTACAGACCCCCGACTCTATACAAGGCATGCAGGATATAAGCATCTGTCTTCCATTCTCATTATTTTTAAAGTCTTCCCAGAAAATATTTAGTAAGGGGACTTAGAACATAGTTGTACAGTATAGACCATAGGTTCTAGAACTGAAAAATCTCCCCAAACCACCCCATACCACCTCCGTGACCAAGGAAGGGGGCCTTGGCTTGCACTGCAGACTCAAAGCTTGTGCCACCCTGAAGACGGTGACCGGCACCAATTTGGAGGCTGCTTAGCAAAGTGGCTACGATCATGGGTTTGACTCCTGGCTCCAATGAGCTCTGGCAAGTTACGTAACTTCTCTGAGCCTTAGTTTCCCCAGCTACGGAAGGACACCATGAATCATACCAACCTCTCCGTCTCTGTGAGCATGACATGGACTGTGGCAGGGAAAGCATTGGACATGGTGCCTGGCTATCACAGGTCCTTGATGAATGGTGGCTATTTTTACTATCATTGCAAAGGCAAGGTCACATAATACATAAAGGAGCCCAGATGATTTATGGTCTCAAATCCACTGAAGCCAGGGCCAGATTTCCCCCTTCCATGTGTGCTGGTCCCTCTCCTTTACTTTTATATTACAAAGGTCCAGTGTGGCCTGGCGTTCAGCCGTGCCCTGCCCTTTCATTGAGGTCCCCACTGCTTCCCTCTTCCACATAACACTACAAAGTGTCTCTTGGTCAGAAGGGGCTCCTTGGTGTTCTTTGACCCTCTTTACTAGAATAAACTTGTCTGGGCACTTACTGCGTGAGGGATTGGGCAAACAAATAGTGATTCAAAACAGAGTGTAAAGGCCCAGCTGGTGTGGCTCAGTAGATTGAGTGTCATCCCATGGACTGAAAGGTCCCTGTTTGATTCCCAGTCAGGGCATGTGCCCAGGTTGTGGGCTCGATCCCCAGTAGGGGCGTGCAGGAGGCAACTGATGGATGTTTCTCTCTCACATCGATGTTTCTCTCTCTCTTTCTCTCTTTCTCTTTCTTTCTCTCTCTCTCTCTCTCCCTCCCTCCCTCCCTCTCTAAAAAATCAATTAAAAATTTTTAAAAAATAAAACAGAGTGTAAAGGACTGTCAAGTGAAGTATAACCTTTCGCAGCAATTTTCAGCTGCATGCCTCTGTCCCGGTGCATGATCTCTCTCCCAAGTGAACTGGAAGGCAATTGTCATAGCAAGCCTGTTGTTGCCTTTGCATTCAGGGCTGCAGTGTGACCTGTATGTGAGCATTTCTGGCTCTCTTCTGAAAGTCGATGCTCCTACAAGCTGCAATATGGCATGGACAATAATAGGATTAATGGGCGTTACAGCGGGGAGGTAAGGCTTTGGACGATCGTGTTTAGCTACCTGCCTGCTGTTACATCACTTTCTGAAGAGAGCTATCTAGAGAAGCCAGAGGCAGCACACTTCTTACCAGCTGGCACTTTGGCCCCAAATTCCAATATCCTTTCCACAAACATTTACTGAGCACCAATTATATGCCAGGCTCTATTTTGCGAGACAATGGAACTACTGTGTCACACCCAATATAAACATGAACCCTATGCTCATGGACACTAAGTCTTACGTGGTGAGAACAAACATTAACCAAATAAATAAAAGACTGAACTGTGAGAAGGGGCATCGGATGCCCTGAGGGGTCCCTGCTGGGGAATTTTATTCTCCTAGAAGCCAGGGCAGCCCCTGTGAGGAAGGGATGCCTCCATTCAGCTCGCAGGGGCAGAGGAAAGGGCCGTAGGGAATCTGGAGAACATTCTAGGCACAGGGAAGTTGCCTCTGGTAAGAAAAAGCAAAGAACACATGAGGGGTGTGTCTGGAGCAGAGAGAATGAGGATGAATGTGTAAGAGAAGAGGCTGAAAAGAGCAAGTGAGGCCAGGCTACGCTTTTTAGAACAAGCCGGGGGGTTGGGTTTCATTCCAAGTGAAGAGAGGCCATTGAAAGTTTGGGGTGGTGGGAAAGAGTACTGGAGGATGACATATTCAGATCTGCATTTCGAAAATATCTTACTGAGGGAGATCAGATTAGAAAGAGGCAGGAGATGCGGGTGGCAGCCACTCGATGTGTCCCTTCACGTCGATGTTTCTCTCTCTCTCTTCCTCTCTCTCCCTCCCACTCTATCTGAACAAAAAATTTCCTCGGGTGAGGATAAAAAAAAAAAAAAAGAAAGAAAGAAAGAGGCAGGAGAGGTTGTGAGCAGAAGTTTTAACAAGAGCCTTTCACTAGAGTCTGGTCAAACCCTCCTGTTCCGGTCCCCAAAACCCTGCCTAGGTGGGGACATCACTCAAGGGCAAGGAAGCCCTTGGCCTATTTTGCCAACAAATGGGAAGTGAGAGTGAGCCCCCACAGAAAGCTTCAAGTCCCAAAAGACAGCATCTAAAGAGAAAAAATCACTTCAGCTGCTGTCCAAGCTTATGCTCTCTTAGCTCAGTTTCATCAAAATTGCTTTTCCCACCCCCACCCCACACTGTGAACTAATGAATATTTTCAGTCTTCCCCGTCATCTGAGCATGTCTGGGCAATGGTTCTCAAGGCAGGGGGTGCACACCTCTGACAGTTGTGGGGAGAAAAACATTAGAGCTATTTATATTTTTATCTAAAGGCTGCAAGAAATTAAGCCTTAATAATATATTCAAAAGAAACTGTCATAGTAGTTTTTAACAAACTAGTTGACACTGGCACCCTCACTAAGATAGGCAGTCACTAGAAAAACGTACCCAAGGGACCCTGGAATAATCATGATGTAAAGTGACCCCATTTTACATAAAGTGGCAGTGGTGTCCTGGCTCATTCATTCACTTCTAGCTCATTGCAAGCCTTTACAGTTGACTTGTGCCTGTCTAGTGGATTTACAAATGATACTGTTTAGTTTTAATTCAACTCATCGCTACAAAATCTACAGACCCATGGCTTTATTAGGTTTCTCAGGGAAACTGTGGATTGAGGAGAACACCAATAACTGAAGCACAAGCGAACCCATGAGAAAAGGACAGGGCTTATTTTTTCCGTCTCTAGAACAAGATGTTTAAGCCACATTGCAAAGTGAAAACAATGGATACCTAATCAGATCTCCAAAGAAGTCATCCAAAAAATTAAAATTAGGAGTTTTCTATAAACAAACTTATAACTATTATTGCTAACAATGTACCATTAAACTATAATAAAAATCCATAACATCTTTAATATTTAGATATCTTAAATAGTCATATTCAAAAGTTTTTACTTGAGCAGGACACAACCAAGACAATTTGGAGACCATGCGGTAGGGCCAACCTGGGGGGACAGTGGACCACTCTGACGCACCTGGGGGTACTGGTTGTGGGGGAACGTGCTTTCTGTCTCTGCCAAAGGCCCATTATTCTGGTCGCTGTCTCCATAGATTTCTTCTTTGGTCATCAGAGACTCTTCTTCAACCTCCCCTTCCTTCTGGAGAATTTTCCTCATGAAGTCTCTCTTGTCCATTGGGGTTCGAATGATTTTCAGGTTATTTGTGTAGATGATTATCTTTCCAAAATCTATAATAGGTGGGGACTAGAGAAATGGAGAATGAGCATGGAACCTCCACCCACAATCACCAGATAATACAGGGCTGCAGAACCTGCTCAGCAACCCGGGAAACAGGAGAGGAGCTTCTGCTGCCCAGCACTTGTGATTCCCATCAGACCACAAAGCTACAATTCATCCCCTGGTTTGTTTGCTTTCTCTGAAATCCATGGCAACCATCTCCTGTTGATGGTAGCCAACCAAACCTAAACTAGTCATATAACTAGAGTGTAAAACTCTGCAGGGTAGGGTCCCTATTTTGACCACATACCATAGCAGCTGATGCAGGGCCAGGCATAATGAGTGCTTAATAAAGACAAAGGAATGCTCTTTTTAAAATTACTATCACTCTCAATTTGTTTCTGTGCATAAATAATAATAGTAGATATAATTTATTGAGCATTTATTATTACTATATTATTATTATTATTGTGTCAGGCACTGTGCTAAGCATTTTACAAACATACCCTCACGTCTCCCCTGAACAACCCTATGAGGTAGATGCTCTGATTTCCACATTCTACAGGTGAAGACACCAGGTCTCAGTGAGGTTAAGTGCCTCTCAAAGTTACAGTTACCCAGGGTCTGTGGCTGGAATTCAAACCCAACTCTGTCTCACTCCAAACTCCATACTCTTTTTTTTTAAATTTTTTTTCTTTATTGATTTTAGAGGGAGTGGAAAGGAGAGGGGGAGAGAGAGAATCATCAATGAGAGAGAACATTGATTGGCCGCCTCCTGCATGCCCCCCACTGGGGATCAGGCCCACAACCTGGGCATGTGCCCTGACCAGGAATCGAACCGGCAACCTCTTGGTGCATGGGTCGATGCTCAACCACTAAGCCATGCTGGCTGGGCAAAAGTCCATACTCTTAACACCTATACTAAACTATTCACAAGTACTTTCCCCAAAACATATAAGATCATTATATTTCTTTATATATATTAATATTATATTTTTAATATATATTCTATTGTAACTTGCTTTTATTGTCTATGAAAATATTTTATATCAATAAATGTAGTACTTCTAAGGTATCATTATCAATAGCTATGTCCCCCTGCATGGATTTCTCATGGTTCCTTAATCATCTGCTGAGGAATAATGTGGACAGTACTCTAATGCAGTAGAGAAGCACAGGAGTAGTACATGTTTAGGGATAACTCAGCTAAGAACACATATTTCTTCCCAGAGCTAGGGCAGCTTGCAGGGAAACAACACTGGATTCCAATCCTACTGTTCACCAACTGTGAGATATAGGAGTCATGTGGCCTCTCAGAACCTCAGTTTGCTCATCTGTAAATGGGCTGCCATCTAGCTGGTATGCACTACCACAGACAAATTAATTATTAAAACACAGAAATACTTCTACACTGGTCGTTTAACGGATGCTGAGACTCCTGAGTGCTCTCCTGTTACCCCCACCTGTCACATCCCCAAGCCAGTCATGTAAAAGGACCCTGCCCCAACACTCAGCTGGCTTCTCAAGCAATCAAGCAATTCAACATTGTGACTTTCACCCCTGAGGCTAATTATATTATCTTCCAAGGGTAGGCATTGCTACGGCTGTTAGAATGAAAACCTGGTCTTTTAGCAGTGAGCGCGCATGTGCAGTCATGCTACACAACCATGTGCTTCAGCAGGGAACACCGTGCCCAGCTTTGTAGACTGCATCAACCAAGTCTGTTAAGATGCTACAGTTAAGCAGTCTCAACCTGGCTGGAGCGGGACGTCGGTGTTCGGGTCCCCTCCCTGAAACACCCACGGAGTTCTCCACAGTGACTCGGGGGGCCGCCGCTTCCTCCCCCCAGGATCGGGTGGCGGCTTCCATTTCCTCCGCGGGGCGCGCGGCTCCTGTTCCACACGCTCCACTATCGGTTTCTGAACATCAGCAGATAAAGACGGTGGCGCTTCTGGAAGGTTCCATCTCCACTTCCAGTAATAGCCGAGGAGGCTCAGTTACGAGGGAGCTTCTGTCACATCTATAGCCGGTTTCTCTTTGCAAGGCAAGACTCTCATTAGACTGCAAAAAAATCTGCGGTCATCGGCTCCACCTCCTGCCTCTAAGCTGGTCACTATGCCAGAAACCCAGGAGAGTGCATTTTTAATGTACTCCGGAGATGGATGGTCCCAAATCACCCTTAAGGGGTGTTTAAGTTCCAGCTACCCTGACAGCCTTGTGTCTAAGGCAACCGTGGGTGTAACTAAACTTCACATTATCTGGTTACACCCAACTGCCCGGGAGGAACACCCACTCTTACATTACAGAGGGCCGTGGGGGAGCCGGGATTTTCTGTTTCCTTCATGGTGCCCAGAGCTGGAACCTATGTGATGAGCCCTAAGTACTCTAACGCCCGCGGCAACGTCTGCTGGTCACCAGGAACCCCCAGCCGAGGCTCTGTGCTCCCTGCAGAAACACCGCACTGGGTACAGAAACAATGCGCTTTGCCGGCAGGCGGACTTCAGTTCAAATAGCATTCAAATGTTACTTGACAGTTGTGTGAGATCTGCAGCTTACTGAATCCCTATGAACTACTTCTGTTTTTCCAATTTAGAAAATTCTTTCTCATAGAATAATTGTAAAGATGAATTTACATATTCTGTATGAAGTGTGTATTCAGTGGATGTTACTTCTCTGTCTTTCCCTTCCTTTGTTTATGAACCTTATATACTTCAGTCAGTTTCAATTCCCTAAAACAGGTGATTGTTTATAACCACTTGCTCTATCTACCACATACAAATTTTAAAAGGTTCAATGTTTCTTTCATAAGAACCTGGTCATTATCACAATGGTAGGTACCATTTACTGAACATATACAATGTGCCAGGCACAATGCCAAGTGCTTTTTATGTATTATCTCTTTTTAATCGCCACCACAATCTTTGTAAGCAGGTAGTTTTATTACCATCATGTCACCAATTATGATATTGACACTCAATAAGGTTAAGTGGTTTGCCCAAGCTCACACCGGTAAATAGGCAAAATGGACATCAAGCCCAGGTTTAACTGACATCAGAGCCCTTGTTTAGAAAACAGAGCCTGGCCGGTGTGGCTCAGTAGTGGTTGAGCATGGACCCATGCACCAAGAGGTCACTGGTTCGATTCCTGGTCATAGCACATGCCCAGGTTGTTGGCCTAATCACCAGTGGAGGGCATGCAGGAGGTGGCCAAAGTTCTCTCTCAATGTCTCTATCTCTCTCTCCCTCTCCTTTCTTCTCTCTTTAAAATCAATAAAGAAAAAAATTATAAAAAAAAGCAGTAATACATATACATATATATATATATATATATATATATTTAAATCCTTACCTGAGGATATTTTTCCATTCATCTTCAGATACAGTGGGAGAGAGAGAGAAACATTGATGCAAGAGAGACACATCAACTGGTTGCCTCCCGCACAACCTTGACTAGGGCCGGGAACCAAACCCCAACTGAAGTACATGCCCTTAACCAGAATTGAACATGGGACTCTTTGGTCCATGGGCCGACACTAATTCTGAGCCAAAGTGGCTAGGGCAGAAACATTATTATTTTTAATGTGATAAATATACAGAACATAAAATTTACTATTTTAACCATTTCTAAGTGTATAGTTCAGTGGCATTAAGTACTTTCATATTGTTGTGTAACTATCACCATCATCCATCTCTAGAACTTTTTCTTATTCCCAAATTGAAATTCAATACCCATTAAACAATAATTCCCTCTTCTCCCCTCCCCTAGCCCTTTCTAATCACCACTCTACTTTCTGTCTCTATAAATCTGATTATTCGTATAAGTGGAACCACACAATTGTCTTTTTATGACTTATTTCATTTAGCATAATGTCTCCAGATTTCATCCATATTGTAGCATGTGTTAGAATTCCCTTCCTTTTTCAAGACTGAATAATAGTCCATTGTATGTATATACAACATTTTGTCTGTTCATTCATCTATTGATGGGCATTTGGGTTGTTTTCACCTTTGGGCAATTGTGAATAAAGCTGCTGTAATCCTGGGTATACAGATATCTGTTCAAGTTCCGAGCTCTTACTTTTAATTATTGTGCTTAACTACTAACCGATGTTGCCTCATAGCCGATATTTGCTAGAGGTTGACAACTGGGTTCACTATTGAAAAATCATGACTTCCCAGCTCTCATTTTCTTATTTTTCATTGACAACCTGTTTCAGTGGGTGCAGGTGCATGAATCCATCCTAACCACTCTCACACCTAAAAGCTGGCTAGATTGAGATGTGGCATTTGATCAGGCAACAAACAAAACAAAGATCACTGGATCAGCGCAGCTGGTGTGGCTCAGTGGTTGAGCGCCGACCCATGCACCAAGAGGTCACCAGTTCGATTTCCGGTCAGGGCACATGCAGTGAGGGGCATGCAGGAGACAGCCAGTCGATGTTCTCGCTCATCGATCTTTCTATCTCTCTCTCCCTCTCCCTTCCTCTCTCTCTAAAATCAATAAAGAAGAATTATTTTTTAAAAAAAGGGATAGCCCTGGCCGGTTTGGCTCAGCGGTTGGAGCGTCGGCCTGCGGTACAGAGAGACCAGGGTTCAGTTCCCGCTGGGGGCGCATACCTCGGTTGCAGTTTGTCCCCGGCCCTGGTTGGTCGTGTGGGTGGCAGCCACTCGATGTGTCCCTTCATGTCAATGTTTCTCTCTCTCTCTCTTCCTCTCTCTCCCTCCCTCGGGTGAGGATAAAAAAAATAAAAAATAAAAAAAAAGGGATAACTGGACCAGGCAGAAATCTAACCCTGAACACGGCCTCCAGAGTCCAGTGTTTAAATCTACTGTGCTGTGCTGCCATGAAGCTCCAGTTTGTGGTTTTATAAATTCATGCCTAATCACACAATTACATGAATGCCAAGATTGACATATTGACTTATGAAGGTCAAGCAGTCCAATACTATCTACTATGGCCTTGTACAAGGTATTGTATAAACTACAAGTTTGCAAATTCTAAATCAAAAAAAATTTTAAATAAACAGAGATACTGTAAGTACAAGACAGTTAAGTACCTAGGACATAATAAGCACTCAGTAAATAGTAACTATTACTATTATGATCAACATTATTAGTAGTGATCTTATTCTCTAAAAAAGAATAGTCGATAGGACAAAAAGCAATGGGAATCAGAAGACCTGGGTTCTTATTCTGACTCTGCACCTAATGAACCTATAATATTGGGAGAGTCCCTTAACAACTTGGCATTCAGTGTTCCTCATCTGCAAAATGGGAGTGATCATACTTGGCCTTTCTCCTCAAGACAGTGTGTGACAATGCATTGTAATGTGTAAGCCACTCCAGTAACATGAGGGGCTCTTCATCTCAGCCCCCTTTAATACCAAAAGAAACTAGTATTATCTTTGATAAATGTGCACATGCCCATAATTATACTTGTATCAATGATAGCAAGGCCAATACACTTGTCTGCTCTTAGATGTATTATTTATTCCCTTAGGAAACTACCAATAAAAATGATTAGGGAGTAATTATCTGAATTTCACACTTTAAAGAGGAGTATAAATCCTACTCATTAATGCTATTCATTAATAACCTGGTACATTACATAACTGTATTTAATCTTTTTAAAAAAACACATTCATAGTCGCACTGGCAGAGAGTATATACACATCTCCTGTGAGATTTTGGAAATCAGTGACTACTTTTCCAGGCTCTTCTAACTTAAAAATATATATAATGTATGGGCTTTTGATTATCCATGGTACTGGAAAAAATAATTAAAATTGACAAATAAAATATGTTTCAAATGAACTATTAGCTCAAACTTCGTCCCCGTGTAACATTTCCTCTGGTTGATTTGCTTTTCCCCATCTCTTCCCAGGACTCCACCTACCCAGTGTTCACGCTAATGCGCAATGGAAAGAAAAATAAATAAACTAACAGACAGACACTTTTTTTAAAAAGCAGGCAGCCAGAGGGAGATGAGGGTACAAAAAACAAGACACGGATAAACCACAAGCTGAATAATTGCCTGCAGTAAAACGAGCACTTAGCTCTTTCAGGAAACAAGACAACCCGTTGCTGCACAATTTTCTAGAACAGCAGTCAGGCAGCCTGAACACCACGGCACCTCTATTCAATTTACTTACTGAGATAACCCAGCCCAAGACCCAGTTACAATTTTCTTTTTTACCCTTGATAGCATCTGAATACTATCATGCACTTTCCAATAAGTAGTCAACAAGCATGTTATTTTTGTTTCAGAAATACTATTCTAAGAGCAACTTCCCATTTGGTGCACCTGTAGCCCTGGTTGGTACCAAAGCATGAGCATGATTCAAATTTGAAATGTTTAGGTGCTTCTCTAAACACACTTTAGTCCTTAAAGCTTATACACCATGCACAATACCAACCTTGTGGTCATTTGCCTTGTAATCGTTGAAGAAAGGCTGGCTGCCCGCCAAAGTATAGGCATTGCCCTCTCTAAACACGCTGATCCTTTGAGCAGTCAGCTTAGGGGAGTACGGTTGGGGTTTGGGGGCTTCCCCAGACCCATAAACACCATCCATTGGTTCAAGGGACTCTTGGAGAAAACTGTGAGGGTATTCCTCCTTTGGCGATTCTAATTCCTGCCCATCCTCAAAGACCTGCTTCAACACTCGACCACTGTAGGAGGAAGAGATTTTAAATCGTACTTTCCGGGGTTTGCCGTCACTCTTCTGGTTCAGCTTCTTCTCAGGGTCCTCCATCAGCAGAAATTTCCCTCTATGGTTTCCAGGCTTCAGTGTAGCCAGTGAAGCTTGAAGCTCAGAGAAAAAGGCACTTTGTTTTCTCTCCTCCTGCATATAATTAATTCAAGTCGCTGCTGGGATATGCTCGGTTTACAGCACCTGACACCCACACATTAAATATTGATAGACCCTCATGCAAAGGCAGGTGATTGTGGGTTTATGGAATAGAAAGTGCATAAGACAAGACTGGGTCCCCTCTGAATCCCATATTCACCCAGAACTTCACCCCAACCCTGGTTGTTCTGAACCTGAGTAGGTTTATTTAGACTGAACAAGTACCAGTTCAGTAAGGGTCAGTTAATCAATCAGTTAGCAAATGTCTTGTTATTCTTACGAGCAAGTATGACCTAATAAGCATTTAATAAGTGGCAGAGATTTCTGCGTGCATTAGCTTACGTCGTCCTCACTATAACCCTGCCATGAAAGTAGCACTGTCCCTGATTTACAGAGGGGAAAGCGAGGCTAGGAGCAGTGTCCCCACTTATCACTGTATTATAGCTAAGTAAGTAACGACAGGGATTCAAACTCAGTTCTGTCTGACTCCAAAACCTATGAGCAGGCCACCAAGTCAAAAGTTTTCAAACCATGTCTCATGGCATCCTAGACAAGATGAAGCACAGGTCCTGAATTCTGGGCCTTCTGCCTCTGTGTTAACCAGAACAGTTCCACTTTATATCTACTTTATATAGGCAGTTTATTGCATGTTGATTATACGTCAATAAAAATTTTTCTTTGCCCTGGCTGGTCTGGCTCAGCGGTTGGAGCGTCGGCCTGCAGACCAGAGAGTCCCGGGTTTGGTTCCCGATAGGGGCACGTACCAAAAAAAAAAAAATTTCTTTTTAAAAGACCAAAAAAAAAAGACTCATTTGCAAGCACAGTGCTAGGCCCCACCGCCCACTGTACCATTGTAGAAGACAGCACCTGGTAAATGCCCAACACTGTGAGATAGTCACTGGGATAAATACCAGAGAAGCATGAGACCTGGGGATTGAGAATGATAGTCCTACAGTCTGGTTTAGGAAACAGACCTAACACATATGAAATAGCCTCTTGCTTAGGAAGCAAACAGACCACTGCTAACTCCCAGAACAGCTATTTTAGGGAGAGAGCAATCACTAAAGAGACAAGGGTGGACGAAGGAAAGGGCCTTTTGGTTGGATCTAAAAGCATGGGTTGGATTTGAAGAGCAGGAATGGTGGAGGTTAAGCTTTTCACCGTGTCTTTGCCAATGACATCCCCATTTACTTCGTTGCCCAAACTGACTTTCCTCCTGTAGCCATCCCTGGAAATCCTATCACCACTGCCTTCTATCATCCACCCCAGCACCCTGACCCGAGGTCAAGTCCTGTTTTCAAAGTTCCAGCAGCCTCTTAATGACTTTCCCACCCATCCGCAAGTACATTCATTCCACCTTGATGGCAGAGCAATGTTTCCAAAACACAAGTCTGCAAGTATCAGTCTCCTGCATAAAAAGTCCTAATCCTTCCCCTGGAAACCAATGAAAATGAACATACAACACAAAATCTATGGGATGCAGCGAAAGCAGTTCTGAGAGGGAAGTTCATACATAGCAATACAGGCCTACCTCAAGAAACAAGAAAAATTTCTAATACACTATCTAACCTCACAACTTAAAGAACTAGAAAGCAAACTAAAAGAAAACCCCAGAGCAAGTAGAAGAAAGGAAATAGTAAAGACCAGAGCAGAAATAAATGACATAGAGACCAAAAAAACAATTCAAAGGATCAATGAAACAAAGAGCTGGTTCTTTGAAATGATAAACAAGATTGATGGACCTTTATCTAGACTTACCAACAAAGAGAGAGAACCCAAATACACAAAATCAGAAATGAAAGAGGAGAAATAATAACTGACACCACAGAAATACAAAGGATTGTTAACAAATATTATGAACAATTATATGGCAATAAATTCGACAATTTAAGCGAAAAGGACCAATTTCTAGAAATATACAGTCTCCCAAAACAGAACCGGGAAGAGATAAAAAACTTGAACAGACCAATAACAACAAAAGAAATTGAAGATGTAATCAAGACTCTCCTAGCAAACAAAAGCCCAGGTCCAGACGCCCTCAGGAGGGAATTTTACTGAACATTCAAAGAAGAATTAATACCCATTCTCCTCAAACTATTTCAAAAAATTCAAGAAGGAAGACTTCCAAACTCGTTTTATGAGGCCAGCATAATTCTAATTCCAAAACCAGAAAAAGACACTGCAAAGAAAGAAAACTACAGGCCAATATCCCTAATGAACATAGACGCCAAAATCCTGAACAAAATACTAGCAAATCGAATCCAGCGATACATCAAAAAAATTATTCACCATGACCAAGTGAGATTCATCCCAGGGATGCAAGGCTGGTACAATATTCACAAATCAATAAATGTGATACACCACATGAACAAAATGAAAGATATAAATCATATGATCATATCAATAAACGCTGAAAAAGCATTTGACTAAATCCAGCACCCATTTCTGATAAAAACGCTCAGCAATCTGGGAATGGTGGGATCATATCTCGACATAATAAAGGCCATATATGAAAGACCTACAGCCAACATCATACTCAATGGGCAAAAACTAAAAGCATTTCCCTTAAGAACAGGAACAAGACAAGGATGCTCACTTTCACCACTCTTATTTAACATAGGACTGGAAGTCTTAGCCTCAGCAATCAGACAGGAATTAAAAATAAAAGGGATCCAAATTGGAAAGAAGGAAGTGAAACTGTCATTATTCACAGATGACATGATACTATACATAGAAAATCCCAAGGACTCCATCAAAAATTTACTAGACTTAGTAAATGAATTTGGCAAAGTAGCAGGATACAAAATTAACGTCAAGAAATTGACGGCACTCTTATACTCCAATGATGAACTCACAGAAAGAGAAACTAAAAAAACAATCCCATTTACCATTGTGGCAAAAAAATTAAGATACCTAGGAATAAACTTAGCCAAAGACATAAAGGACCTATTCGCAGAACACTACAGGTCATTGAAAAAAATAGAGGAAGATATAAAAAAGTGGAAGCACATATCCTGTTCATGGATTGGGAGAATTAACATCATTAAAATGTCCATACTACCCAAAGCAATCTATAGATTCAATGCAATCCCCATCAAAATACCAACAACATACCTCACAGAACTAGAACAAATACTTCAAAAGTTCACATGGAACCAAAAAAGACCCTGAATAGCCACAGCAATCTTGAAAAAGAAGAACAAAGTTGGAGGATCACATTACCAGATTTCAGGTTATACTACAAAGCCACTGTAATCAAAACAGCCTGGTAATGGCACAAGAACAATCAGATAGATCAATGGAACAGAATAGAGAATTCAGAAATGGACCCAAGACAATATGCTCAATTAATATTTGACAAAGGTAGCAAGAGCATACCGTGGAGTAAAGACAGCCTCTTTAATGTGTTGGAAAAATTGGACAGCTACATGCAAAAAAATGAAACTAAACCATCAACTTACACCATACACAAAGATAAACTCAAAATGGATAAAAGACTTAAATGTGACTCATGAATCCATAAAAATCCTAGAAGAAAATGTAGGCAACAACATTTCAGACATCATATGCAGCAGAATATTCACGGATACATCACCTAAGGCAACAGAAACAAAGGAGAAAATGAACACATGGGACTACATCAAACTCAAAAGCTTCTGCACAGCAAAAGAAACAACCACCAATGGAAAGGCAACCCACTGTATGGGAGAGCATAATTGCCAATAATATATCAGATAAAGAGTTAATTTCCAAAATATATAGAATGCTCATGCAGCTCAACAAAAGGAAGACAAAGAACCCAATTAAAAAATGGGCAGGGAACTAAATAGACACCTCTCCAAACAGGACATACAAATGGCTAAGAGACATATGAAGAAATGCTCAACATCTCTAATCATCAGAGAGATGCAAATTAAAACAACAATGAGGTATCACCTCACACCTGTCAGAATGGCCGCCATCAACAAATCATCAAACAACAAGTGTTGGCGAGGGTGTGGAGAAAAGGGGACTCTAGTACACTGCTGGTGGGAATGCAGACTGGTGCAGCCACTATGGAAAACAATATGGTGTTACCTCAAAAAATTAAAAATTGAACTGCCATTTGACCCAGTGATCCCACTTCTAAGAATATACCCTAAGAAGCCTGAAACACCAATCAGAAATAATATATGTACCCCCATGTTCATAGCAGCACTATTTACAAAATTAAGATACCTAGGAATAGCTAAGATAGTTAAGATCTGGAAATAGCCCAAGTGTCCATCAGTAGACGAACAGATAAAAAAGCTGTGGTACATATACACAGTGGAGTACTATGCAGCTGTAAGAAAGAAAGATCTCTTATCCTTTTAGACGACATGGAAGGACCTAAAAAGTATTATCCTAATCGAAACAACCCAAGCAGAGAAAGACAAATATCACACGATCTCACTTATTTGTGGAATAAAATGAACATAACAGTCTGAGGAACGGGGTAGTCCCAGAGACGTGGAAGTGGGGTACAGACTGACAATCCCCAGAAGAGGGGGTGGGGAGGAAGATAAACCACAGAACTTATATGCATGTGTGCATGAACAATGGACATGGACAACAAAACTGGGGACAGGGCGGGAGGGACGGGAAGGGGGGAATCAGTGCGGGGGTGGAGAAATATCTGTAACAAAAATTAATTAATTAATTAATTATTTTTTTAAAAAAGTCCTAACCCTTCCCATGGGCAGGCCAGGTCTCCAGAACCTAACCTGCCTTCCTTTCCAGCCTCGTCCTTTGCACTCTTCCAGGTGCTGCCTGGAACTGGAGTTCCGGGCACACACCAAGCTCACCTATTTTTCAAACCACCAGTTTCTGTCTCTTATCCACTGCTCTGTTTCCTGGTTGACAGGCCAAACTTCCCCTCCTCCTTAAGTCACGCCTCAAATGTCATTGCTT